CTTGATGTAACAGCCACAGAGTCTATATATTTTTAAATTTCTGTTCTGATATTTGGTTGCAAATCCTACTACCATACAAGTGATACCACTTGACTTGTTATTATATCTAGTTATTTTATGGGTCTTTTTTGCGTGTGTACTCTCACTTAGCATATGAAACATTTCAGATTAAGTACAAGAGTTTTGATAAAGTTGAAGAGAGAAAGTGGTGGCACATTCCAATAATTACAGAACTTCTTGAGAAGAATGGTCTTGAATCTGCACTGAAGATAGTTCTTGGCAGAGAGATGGTGCAAGCACGTCAGTTTGTACATTTTGCTTTTCCATGGCTTAAGTGGACTGATCAAAGTAATGACACTGGAATTTGGAAGGATCAGGCTTCAAATGAAACTGAAGCAATAGGAAAACATAGTGATCATTCAGGAGATTTCGATGGTCCTTCAGGATTAGATAGATCTATAAACTATTCAAACCAGTCAGACAGTTATCCAGATCCAGAGTGCTCCACAAATTGCTCAAACCTTGATGAACATAAATCTTCAGATATTGAAGTTGTTGAAGCCTCACTGTCTGATAAACATTTTTGGAAAAACATTGCTGATATTGTGAATCATAATGTTGTTCAGAGAATTGGTTTTCCTGCTTTTGATAAAATAAGGTGAGATGAATTTGACTTGTTAAATAAGATTGGGTTAAATAAGATTGGGTTGCAGGATGGGTCAATAATCGATTGTCTAAGTAAGATAATCGATTATTTTGGCAGATTTCTGGGAACGAAATGATGGTGTTTGTGTGGGGAAAGGCTGGAAAGATATGGGGATGATGAAGGAGTTCTTTTGGGTATTTTTAATGGAAGAAAAGAGTAAGATTAAGAGGACAAATGGGGGGATATGAAATGGAAGAAAATCAGGGATGGATAAACCAAGTTGGTGTTTAAGAGATATTACACACTCTTATCCTAACTTGGGGTTTGAATCTAGAATTTAATTAAGATATGACGCACTTAATCAAATATCTAGAACCTAAAACTCATACTTAAGATAACCACTCTTAAGATATAGAATTAGGAATTTGGCTAAAATAGCATCACACTATTTTAATAATACTCAAAGAGTAAAAGAAGTTTTTAATATTCAAAAGATGTTCTCCGTTACAATGGCCTATGGCCGAGATATATATAAGCACACCAGGGGAGAGGGAAGCTTCCTAGTACATTCACTTATTTGGGGGATAATGTCCACTTATTTTAATGGAATGAAAACAAGGAAGCTAGGTTGTTATTTTGAGAAGATGTTTATGGGGATTTGATGGAGGTGTGGTTCGGCCAGATTAGGGGACAAAGGGGTGTGAGATATATTGGCTACTTTGGTTTGTTATGGTGGTTGAAATATGGTGGTTGTGAAGTGGAAAAGGGCGGCCCAAGGGTGGGGTAAAGAGGAGAGAGATGTGGCTGTTTTGTGATGGGTTTATATGCCCCATATATCTCAACAAATGGGATGTTTTATTCTTAGCTTTGGAGTGTAGTTGTAGGGCTTATTTGGTGGTTAAAATGGAGGATGTGTATGCTGTTTGGGTAGGGGACAAAGGGGGTCCATGTGTTGGGGTTTATTATGGAGATGATATGGGTTGTTTTGGCTTTTGTGTTTCAGCCAGGATTGAAGGGAAAAGGATGAAATATATGTGGGTCATTTTGGTGAGTTTAATGGGGTGTGTTTTTGATGAGAAAGGGTGGGGGTAAGGGGGTACGGCCTGGGCAGTAAAATGGGTTGTTTGGGTTTATTTTAGGGTGAGGAAATATCCAATGAAATTATGGCTAAGGGTTTGGGTTTAGGAGGGGTAAATTCATTCCAAAAAGGATTAAAACACTTGGACATTATTCCACAGATTTGTTTAAGGACTCGAGGATTGTTGTTGGTGGTCGGGGGTATATCAATTACTCAACCCATGAAGTTCTTAAAGAGGGTGATACACCGAAAATTGAGTTTCATTTAGATATATCAGAAATAGCTAGGAATGGAATTGGGTACAAAAAAGTTTTTTGTACAATTGTTCAAGTATGTGGGATCTATACTGCAAACGAACAGAGATGTAAAAGCATGGTAGTGGTCACTAAGCCACTGAAGACAAGGTAAGAATTAGACTGCATTGGTCAAGGGTTAATCATGATTGTTATGAATTATGTGTTCCAACACAAATAGTTGTAGATTTGTAGGATGAAAAGGTCAAGGATCGAGAGAAAAATATGTATTCCAGTACAGAATTGTATTATTTTCAAAAATTCTCCAGAACTTTTGAGTTTCTATCATAACAAACATCCCCATTTTCTCTTTAATTAGGGATGTTTATGGAAAGCCCCGGCTATGAGTGGCTGGTCCCAACCCGATTAAAGGACAAGGGTTGCGGTAGTCTAGTGAAATTTCGTCATATTTTATGAGATGAACCAAGATAAGAATTTTGTTGCAGTATTCCCTACACAGAGACGTGTTACACTACTTAGACCAGGTTGTAGTGTTATGGGCAAGGGATGCTAGATTGTCAACCAAAAAAGTATCGCCATATCTTCACCTGGAGTGATGACGTGGTGCCATGTAAGCAAGGGTTCTCTCATTTATGGAAGGACGTTTGAAAATAAAGTTCTCATTCCTTTAGAAACATTGAATGGTTCACACATTATTACTCTCTCGTCCGCATAAATTTCAACCACACAATCTGATTTTTTTCTTAAACACCGTGGAAAAACAAATGTAAATTTGAATTAAAAAATTTTACTTTTTCTTAATTTCTGTAAAAAGCAAATAGGACTTTATTTTGTGATGGAGGAAGTACCATTTTACGGATTTTAGGGTCTAATTCATGTGATAACTCTCCGTATCTTTTATTATCTAGCTTTTTATAACTGAACTGCATACATTGGCGTTGATTGTCATTTTTCGGAAAGGGAGACAACAAGAAATCGGTACAATCCTAACTCAGTTGGGATATGGAGGGTCAAGACTCAAAATGTAGGCAGCCTTACCCCAAGAAAGGCTTAGAAAAGGCTGCTTCCATTAGACCATTGATGCATTGCTGCATTGCTGCATTCACCACCGAGAGTCCAAGAACATCACAGAAGAAGAAAAGTGAGTTTTAAAACTTTTAATTTGCCATTGTGATTTAGTACATAATTTACCCAAAGCAAATTGACTCTTTTAGCTCCATTGGCAAAGATAAGTAAGACCATAGAAAAGATATGAGTTTTAATGACATCAACAAGGTAAGCCTATTTACCTGATTGTACAACAACAACCCAGTAAAATCACACCAAGGTAGGGTCTAGGGAGGATGTGTGTATGCAAACCTTACCTCTACTCGGAAGCAGAGAGGCTGTTTCCAAGAGACTACCGCTATACTACTATACTACCCAACTATCTTAATTCTATCTCTCCAAACACTCCTATCTGAGGTCATATCCTTGATAAGGGAAAAAGGTCTAGGGTCTTGGCGAACCACCTCTTTCCATGTCCTCTTCGGTCTACCCCTTCCACATTCCCGCCAAGCACTCGAAGCCTCTCACATCTCCATACAAGAACCTGAACCACCTCAAACCACTCCCACCCATTCCCGAATAGTATCGTTCCGAACCCTATCCAACGTCATGTGCCCACACATGACACATCGAATGTAACATCCATATCTCCGCAACAACCTGATTGTATACTATGAAAACATATGGAGTATAACAAACACATCTTCCTAGTTTGATTTATAACACTCTCCTAGCTCACTTTAGAGAACATTCAGAAATTCCTACCTTCTTACTTACCTATGTAATGGTATGTTCTCGTATCTCGTACTCCCCCCTTTCCTTTTTCTCATTCATCAAGACATTATCCCTCATTTCAAGTATGGTTCATATTATCTCCTATATAAACATATACTACTCTATTTTCATTTTGTTGAATATCGTGTCATGGCCCGTGAGATGATTTATTAATCATAGTTTTTATATTTGTGTTCCAGAGACTACAAGTCGAATTTGACGAAGTAGAATCATCTTTAAGGCTTAAGCACGAGAACCAAAGTCTAGGTACTAGCAATTGGATCCAATCTAACAAGTCACACACTCATTTTTCGAAAATAACATAAATGAACAAATATGACGTGGTGTAATTGAAAAATTGAAAATAAAAATCAAATAAATGTGTTGAAAATTTGAAAATGCTTTTCCTATAAAAAGCAAAGCCAATTTTAATAGCTTTTAATTTATTGAAATTCCATCTGATATAATAAAAGAAAAGGAGAGGATATCATTTTTATGTACTCCCTTTAATGAAGTATACACTTTCCCCTTTCCCGTGTCTATGAATAGGCCTTATACTTCTCCTATTTCCTCGTTGAGAAAATGAATGTGTCACATAACATTTCTCTATCATCTAAAAAAGTTCAAAACACTTTCACATTTCATATCTCTATGAAGCCAAATAAAGTTAGATAATATAATATTTAATGTTATATTGTAATATTGAAGAAATTTCGATCACCCAAATATTAGGTTATGCCTACATTATTTGCAAATGGCTAATTTATAACGTGTAGGTACATTCTTTGAAATAAAAAATAAATATATTCACATGCGGTGGAGTTAGTCATCGATGTTACATGTATAGTTCTCTATTTTTTCTCTCTATTGTTTTTTGTGTTCCTCATCATGATCATGTTTAGGTGTTTATTGATGTTAACATAAACTTCATTGCAGGATGGAGGAAGTATTAGAACTAACACATTTTCTTACTATTTTCATCTCCTACTAAACTTTATATTGTTTCCACTATCTAGCAGGTGGCAACTTACTAATCTCACGCAGTAGCATCTAAATGTGGTAAATAAGACTTGCATAGGGCATGGACCTTTTTGCTCTTTTTTTCTTGCACATATTATTTAGTTTTGTATTTACTATACTCTTCATTACATTAAAAATTATAAATAACGATGTTGC